AAATATTTTTAATAAAGAATATAAGAGGACCAGCTATTTGTTCTGGATCAGCAATCCCTTCATATTAGGTTAATGAATAAAGGAGAAAAAATTTCCCCAGGAGAATAAAAATCAAATTAATAGACTTTAGAGAGAAAATAACTGTGCATGAAAAGTCGTAAAATTATGTGGTTACTTTATTTGATTTGAAAGATGATAGATTATACAATGCTGAAAGGATTTTTAAAAAATTTTTAATAAGTGATGAAAGTTGGCTTCTGTGTAAGTACAGGAGATGAACTTAAAATTTTTTAGGGCTGAACAAACTTATACCAAAATGAACTAAATGTTTATGAGACTAGTATAGTATGAGTACTTAATATTTAAATTTAAAAATAAAGGAAAGGAAATATTGCTTCACTTTAAAATGCAAATCAACTTTTTTATAGGTTTAAGAATTTTCTAATAATTTGGAACTAATATATTTATTTTCTTTTTAAAAAATAAGTATTATGTTAAGTAGGTTCGGGATGTGCCCACATAGCCTGGGTCTTTCTTGGTAGGACACATTTGGGCCATTCTTCTACCTTCAATTTCTACATAGATTCCAAATATGACTCAAATGTTTAACCAGTTTATTGAAATTTCTAAGTATAAAAATACATAGTTTGGATCTTCAAGGGACTGTTCCTTAGATTATTGTTGATAAAAAGCTTTGAGAAACCAGCATATAAAAATGTAAAAAAATATAGGATTTGCGTGTCAGTAAAACTCCTCTCCTACAAACATTTTTGTTGAGATTAGCAGGATGATGGAAAGATTTCACTGTTTTCTTAGAATTTTGTGAACATATATGTATGACCTTCAAGATCAAGCTAGAAGAGAGGGTGTGTGTATGTGTGTGTGTGTATTTCAAACACTTCTTGAGTGTCTGAAGTAGGCTGGCCATTATGGTAAGTGCTTTTCCATGCTATCTCTTTTCATTTTTAAAACACCCCTAAGTAATATTAGATACTATTTTCTCCATTTTAAAGGTGAAAAAACTGAGTATACACCCACAAGGCTAGATGTTTACTATCTGATAGAGTCAATATTTAATTGTTATGTCGGCCCTTGTTCTGCTAAATAGAAGATTAAATAAAAATGATTAGGAAAAATGAACTACTTTGGATTTTAAAAATTTTATTCTTATGTTGTTACATCTTGAAACAAGAATTCCTCCCCATGCTTCTGCATTGTAAAGTACATTTACATTTTTTTCGCCCTATAATATTATTCCCTAAGAATAGCGTCATCTATTCAAAAGAAGATGCCTCAGAGTGGCTGGACATTCCTTAAGTTGTTTCTCAACTTCCCCCGTATCAGATGTACAACTTATAAGGAAGAAAAGAGTTATTTTATCCATTCATCCATCTATCTATCTCACCTGTCATTTGCCAGGCACTGTACTAGGCATAATATTTTAAAGCAGTGGTGAGGAGCCGGCCCGGTGGCACAAGCGGTTAAGTGCGCGTGCTCTGCTGCGGCGGCCCGGGGTTGGATCCCGGGCGCGCACCGGCGCACTGCTTGTCAAGCCATGCTGTGGCGGCATCCCGTATAAAGTGGAGGAAGATGGGCACAGATGTTAGCCCAAGGCCAGTCTTCATCAGTGAACAGAGGAGGATTGGCCGATGTTAGCTCAGGGCTGATCTTCCTCACAGAAAAATAAATAAATAAAGCAGTGTTGAAAGTTTACATAGTTCAGTTCAGGAAAAATTAAAAATTCACAGATCACATTTTGTTTTGTTGTTAACATGAAAACAATTTGATTGCTTTCTAGGAGAAGAGCATTTATATATGGCAGTATAATGTAAGGGGATATTTGTGTGTGTGTGTTTCCTTGATGTTTTTTTTCCCTCCCTCTCTATTCTCAACCTTCACTCCCCATCCCAAGATGGCAGCCAGGTCCCTTGAACTCCTTTGTTTCAGCAGAATTTTGTGTAGTCTAAAGTTCTGGCTTTTGTTTTCTGATAGCCTGAGCTTCTGAGTGGCTGATGCTTGGATAGGAGAAGAAAAAAGAAAGAGAGACAGGGGGAATTTCCTAAGATCAGCTCTGTTAGAGCATCCTGCAGTGGTAGCATGGCTTCTTGTGGGTGGGAGGAAGGGGAGGGAATGGCTGTGTGGTGTGCCTGGGGGACTGCACCTGAGCCACCTGAACTGCCAGCTGTGGCTGAGATTCCCCAGCTTGAGAAAGGAACAGATCCTCCAGCATTCAGGGAATTTTGGAGGCTCTAGGAAGATGGCAGTCTCATTTTCCTGTTTCTTTGTTGTATCCTCATTACCTTGAGCACAGAGTACGGAGTATAGTAGTTGCTAAATAAGTTTTGTGAATGAATGAATAAATGAATGAATTCCACTGTAGACTTGAGAGGGGGGCAGCTCAGCAGTAGCCACTGCATCTTGGAGACCTGAGTGATCTCTTTAAATGTTCTGCTGTTTACAAAACCTCTAGAACCTTTGTGTAGTCCTAGATACGTGACGTAGAGGAGTGGGAATGTCAGCAATGACTGAAATTAAATTGTCCACCAAGCCAGTGGGATGGGGACTCGGAGACAGATTTAACTTGATGTAATGATGACAAAGTCATGGGGCAATTCTTACACTTGAGTTTGTCTAGTAAGATTCAAACCCTCTATACATAATCTAAAGATTTGAGTGCCTACTTTATTATGTATGATAATATCAATTTAGCCAAAAACAAATCCTGCTTGTTAGTTACCAGTTTTAAAATCCAGATGTTTTTGAGAAGTAGACGTTTAAAAAGATTTCATTCCGAAATTAGATTGAGAATCACATCTTAACGCTCTGCAGTCCATGAAGCAGGCGTGTGTATATGTGTATAAGCATGCATTATATGAGCAAACCATTGAGAAATATATCATTCAAAGGGTATACCGACCCTTTTAATACTCGCTTTAAATTATTACCAATGCCGAGCCCTTTCTAGAGATCATTCCTTTCCCTGCCTTTTGTCACTTGTCCCTCCTTCTTGTCCTTACTTCTTGTTTTCTTGATTCCCAGTATATACAGACAGAGATTGGGGGGACTCTTGAGTGGCATTCATACTCTGGCAGACATTATTGTGTTGTAGTCTTCTAGGTTTTTATGAAGGAAAGATTGCAAAGAGCAAAAAGCGTTTGAAATGAGAACTCAGAGTTTGGAAGGATTATTGGATCATTGTTATTTTATAGTCTGACCCTTTGTGTTTGCACCTGTGCTTACATAATCCTGTAGCTGTTCCCACATTGGTGGTGCCCTATGCTTCTGTAGCTGAGGAGACTGAGTCATTTCTCAGTGACGTCCAGTGAGTCATTTTGAATCCAATTTCTTGAGCCCTGATTTCCAATTTTATTTTTAATCCATATGGTCATGCTGCTTCAAAGGGTAAGATGGGGAGAAGGAGGGGATGACATATATTGAACACGTAATCTTGTCTGGCAACTCTGTGGGTGACATTTTACCTATATTATTGTATATAGTTTTAAACTCTCTTTGCCTTAATTTCCACATCTGTAAAGGGAATAGTTATAGTAAATCTATGTAAAGCCGTTAGTGTAGTGCCTGGCGCAAGGTAAGTGCCATATAAGTGTTGACTACCACCTTGTCTTCATTCCTCTCAACAATCCTATATGGTAAATGGTATTATCCCCACTAAAAAGATAAGGAAATTAAAGTTTGAATAAGTTAAATAACCCAATCTAAATGCTAGTAGGTGGGAGGACTAGCATTTGAATCCGGACTTGTCTAAATCCAAAGCTCATGCTCTTTCCCAAGAAGAAGAAATTATGGTCAGTAGACTTTGAGGATCCTTAATGCAGAACATCACTGATCTCATTTCAAGTTGTGAAAAGGTAACCAGGGCTGTTGAGCAAAGCTTGAATTAAGTACACAGTTCTTCTCTAAATATCATTCCCGGGGTTGTAAGAGGTGCCATCATTATCTGCCTTGTTATGGAAGTAACCCAGGTGTCTGTCTTGTCTTGAGAATGAAGGAGTAGCAGAAGTTCTTCATCAGAAACGTGCTGTCCCAGGAACCAGTTAATGATCTTGGCCCCATCGCAGAGTGTACTGTGGGCGTCCCGTGCCATTGTCTGTGCTCTGTTTTATAAACTGCATCGTGACTGAGCCAGGAAATGCCAATGAAATTATTTTTTTTAACGACCACACATTTTTAAAAAATCTCATGATTTTTTTTTTTTTTGCAAAGACGTATTTTGAATCTCTAAGTATTTCAAGTAAACGTTCCACGGCAGAAAAAGAGTGCTTACTCTCAGACCTGTAACAGTTAGAACCCCAGCTTTCTTATGCCAGTTTTAATTTGGGAAGATGTTAACCTAACCATTTAATTGTTGCCATAACACACTAGCAGAGGTTTCCAAACTTTTTAAAGCAGTAGAATCTATTGTTTTCTCCCCAAATATATTTTTTACATATAATCTCAATATATAAAACAGATGACTGAGCTGTTTGGGGTAGGAGGGGTAGAAGGGATAGTGCTTTGCCCACTCAGTTTCCTCTCTGTCCCTCCATGGCTCCTGAAGCCCCTCAAAAGGATCCAGGGGTTCCAGGGAACACACTTTGAAAACTACTGGCCTATTGGAACCGAATAAAACCAGTTAAGGAAGGATTTGTGTTCTTTCCAATTACTTTATCTATTTATGTTGAGTTTTCTAAATTAGGCCCTGTTTTTTTTCTTATTGGTAAACCAGGCAGTCTCTGCCTTAGAGCCATTATCAGATTCATTTGAAGAGTAATGACCATCTAGAGAGTTCTAGGCTTGCTAGTGTCATAGAAATGCTAAGTAGTATTTGGTTTTTGAAATCGCAGCCTAGGGGGTGCAAAGCTGTGCTGAGTCTGTGTGTTTCCCTGAATTTTTGAAAACATTTAATTTGATCTATTTGTTAAGTTTTAAAAAGTGTGAGACCTGTTGGGCTACAGATGTAATGTCTAGCTTTATTCAGATAAATGTTAAAACTGTGACAAGATAATGCTTTGGTGGTTAAATGACTTTCTGTTCTTGAAAGCCAAACACGATTTAACAACAGTGGAGTGCTTTTCACGAATCAAGAAGCCGGCTAGAAATAGCATGGATTTGGGAGTCAGAACTGGGTTAGAATTCATCTCTGTCACTTACTAGCTGTGTGGCCATTCTTAGATCTCTGAAGCTGCCTTCTTTCTCATAATACCTGTCTCATGAGGTGTTCTGAGGATGAAAGGAGAAAACAGACCTGAAAATCCTTAATACATACTCTTTGCCTTTCAATAAACTGTCCCTTTCTACTTCCTTCATATTTAATCTCTGAGTCTAAGAGAGAAACAGATTCTTTCAAGAAATCTCACTGGGATAATTAGAATAAGAAAAAATAACAATTGATATGATCTTACAACTAGCTTTTGTTTATTTTAAAATGGACATTGAGCGCCTCCTATTTGCTAGCCCTTGTGTCAATTTTCGAGCCATCTTGGACCTTCACCTGAAAGGGACCCTAGACGTAAAGATGAACTTGTTATAAAATAGCCAGGTAAGTGTTCCAATTAAGATATAAACAATCTTTTTTTAAAATTTATTTTTTGCATCCTAAATTCTTCCTGAAGGTGTCCTTTTTTGCATTGTCTAATGAGGCTTTGAGGTCAATATGCAATACTTTCAGAATTCTGAGTATCAGATGTAATAATTTGGAACTCAGGACAAAAATAGTATAATGAACTGGTGCTCTGAGAACAAATATAGATATTTGGATTGCGCTGCACAACTCTTTCGCGTCTTCTTCAGTGACCTATAATTTCATTTTATTTTCTCTGCATCAGAAAATACTGAGATTAAAGTATTCCTACACTGTAATACCAAGATAGGGTTATTCTGCTGCATTTGGAAAACAGAGAATTAAAGAAAAGAGTAGTGAGTTGAACCATTTGATTGTTTGGTATTTATTTTTTACTCTTTTAGACTATTTCTAAAACACATTTAGTGTTTGTTTTTTTCATTGCCTTTATAGCACTGGTTCCTTGATTTCATCCTCTCGTCTGGAAGGACGAGGCTTCCCACTCTTGTCTTGGTCATATTATACCTCCAGCACCTAAAGTAAATGTGGTTCGATGAACAAATGGCAGAAGATAATTAATTAGTTTCTTTCTTTCTTTCTTTGAGCCCCTTGTAGTATATTTGTGGTCTGTTTTCCCTAGAGAATGAATAATAGCTAACATCCCAAATGGTTTTCACTGACGGAATAATTGAAATAATCACAAATATTTGATAAGTAGATTCATCACTACCGCAGTAAATTTGCCTTCTCATCACGTGAAGAATGTCAGGCCCTGCCTGCCTCCTGGCCCTCTGACTTCTCTGCTCTGCCCCTATCCAGGGATAGTACAGCAAGCCAGCCCTCAGAAATCTCTTTTCTGTACTGAGTTTATTGCTTTACTCAGACTCTGTAGCTGTTTTTTGGTGTCCCAGGCAATTTGAGGTTCTTGACCCTCGTTCAGTTGTGATGTGGGAGTCCCTGCTGTTTTGTTACCAGGTCTTTTTAGGCTGAGTGCCTGCTTTTTGCAAAAGAGAATCATTGGGGTATGTCCCTTGCTTTCCCAAATGCATGGTATCCACCTACCCTGACCCGTCTTAGCTGCCTGGTTCTGTTCACACAGGCCTTCCTGAGGGGGGCTATGCAAGTAATGCAAGTCCATTACTTGGGCTGCATGGAATTTTTGCATTCTCTCTCCCTCTTGTCATTTTTAATTGACTCCTCAGAACATTTGGCTCTCTGTCTTATTTAATGAGCCTAATAGCAGAATTCTACCAGGCAGATAATTATCAAACATTTTTCTATTTGAGGAAAAAAAAAAAAATGGATTCCATCACCTCCATCACGGAGGTGATGGAATCCATTAAGTGACCTTGTTTGGATGAGGAGTATGTTTGCAGTGTCCATGCCCATGGATAGAGAAGCCCCACTCCCACCTTGGCTGGACGGTGAACTCTGTGAGGGCAGGGACCATGCCTGTCGTGTCCAGTACTTGAGCCCCAGTTGTTAGCCCAGCACACTGTCTGGCCATGGTATGCACTTGATAAATGTTTGTTGAATGAATAGATTTTTAAAAATTGGTTAACTTTGGAAGTTGGGGGTTGTTTTCTCCTTAAATAAAATGATGTAAGTTTGCATCAAAGGATATTGTGCTTTGTTCCTAAAACTTTCCTGTAATTGAAGGTGATATACCAGTAACAATGGTGAAATATTGATGAAGGGCATGTGTTTCTTCTGTCTGTGGAGTGTCTACATGTTCTACAGAAGCTGATCACTTTCTGGCAGTTTAGCATTTCTAATCTCTACTGAAGCTCTTGAAAGGTTGGCAGGTGATAATGGTACCTCAATATCACTTATTCTCTAAAAATCAGATTGCCATGACACACTAATTTCCCTTGAGTACTCAGGTTGCGTTAGCCCCATAATGACTTCGAGACAATAATTGTGATGGGCAGCAATAAGGAAAGTGAAAGGCTTCTCTCCTTTTCCCAAGTTAGCTGATCCCTCTAGAATCACATAATTGGGCCTTTAATATAGAACAGAATTTCTCAACCCCAGCACCATTTTGAGATGGATAACTCTTTGTTTTAAGAGCTATTCTGTGTATTGTAGGATGTTTAGCAGCATTCCTGTCCTCTACCTACTAGATACCACTCACACCACCCCCTCCCTCAGTCATGATGATCAAAAACGTCTCCAGACAATGCCAGATGTTTCCAGAGTGACAATTTGGTCCCAGATGAGAATCGCAGATGTAGCGGGCTTTATTGAACTGATTGTGCCAGTGCCAGAAAGGGATACTGGCAGAAGATGACCTGGTAATTTTCTATCCTTGCCAAACCTTAGGGGCAATTATCATGGATGGATGAATGGATATTTAAGAGTTTCTCCCCAGTGTGAGCCAGTCACCTAGATGGGAATCTGTGTCCTTTTTAGCTTCCCACTTATCTCTCATCTCATTCCAATTCATCCCTTATAACCATTCTAACTTATAAATGCCTCTTCTGCCTTCTCGTATTGATAAAGCTAAAATGCTAACTTAAGATCCCAGAGTCTAAAATCAACAAACCAACATTTCTTGCAGCTCTGCTATGTGTCAGCCACCCTGCTAACTTATACATTATCTCATTTAATCCTTTCAGCCACCCTGAGAGAGAAGTTTTCTATACGTGACTCACCAGTGAGGAAATGGGGGCAGAAGTTCACACAGCTAAGTGGTAGGGTTTGAATAGTAAGCAGGTCTTCTGAATTTGTTAAAATAATATTTTTATCCTGTTGTTCAAATCTAATCAATATCTACTTGAGATTTAATCACTATCTACTTGAAAATTGCATCAGTATCCACTTGAAACTGTAGCTCTTGGCTTGTGACTAAGAATAGTGTTAGAAGAAATATATATGAAAAGTCCTAGAAGCGTAGAATATGGCTCTCAGACATAATTAGACTGTGACCACCTTGGGATCATCATTGTGTCATTAAACAAATATGTGTTGAGGGCTTACTTGGTGCCAGGATCTCTGTACACCAGTCAAGACAGACAAGGTCCTTGCCCATATAGAGGTTATATTCTAGTAGGGTAGACATCTAGTACACAAGTAAACAAATGAATAAAGAATATAATTACAGATTGTGAAAAGTGCTGTGACGGAAATGAGCAGTGACAAGAGACAGAATAATTGGGTGAGGGGGAGCTTCTTTACGTAGGGTGGTCAGAGAAGTTGTCTTTGATCTTGACGCATCCCATGACACTGGACATATTGCACTCCCTCAAAAGTGTTGCTTCCTCTCCTTGAGTACTTGGCACAGTGCTCCTAAACCTTGGTTGTATGAAAAGACCGTGGTGTTTTTTTCTTTGTGGCCTCAGAGTCTAAAAACCTGTAGTAAGTGTGTTAGTTTCCTTTTGCTGCTGTAACAAATTACCACAAACTTAATGACTTAAAACAACACAAATTTATTATCTTACAGTTCTGGAGGTCAGAAGTGACCAAGGTGTCAGCAAGACTGTGTTCCTTCTGTGGGCTCTGGGGGAGAATCTGCCATCTTGCCTTTTCTATCTTCCAGAAGCCACTGGCATTCCTTGAGTCACTGCCCTATCCTCCATCTTCAAAGCCAGCAGCATAGCATCTTCCAGTCTCTCTAATTCTGACTCTCCAATCTCCCTTGTAATTACGTTGGGCCCACCCGTATAATTCAGGATAATCTCCTCATTTTAAGATCCTTGAGTTAATCACATCTACAAAGTCCCTTTTGCCATATAAGGTAACATTCACAAGTTTCAGGGATGAGATCCGCTTTGGGGACCATGATTCAGCCTATCACAGTAAGCAATAAATGTTAGTTTTATTCTCATGCCCATTTTATTATATAGATGAAAAACTTACAAGTTAAATGAATTGCCTAAAATCACACACTTGGATACAGCTTTAGATCCTGGTCACCTCATTTAAGTACATCATCTCTGTTCTCTCTATAGCCAAACTCTGTTCTATTCTTCATAGCACTCACCACACTACATTTCTTTGTTTTATCTACTTATTACAAGTGCAAGAAGAATGTCACTTTTATTCGCCAAGGTACAGCCATCACACAGGCTCTATGCCTGACACATAGTATGTACACCTCTAAAAATTTTTAGAATGAAAGAATGAATAGTCTTTTATATGCTTGGGTAAATAGAACCCAATCTCCTACAAATTATTCTGTGCAGTGGCTTCTGACAGGTTGAAAATCTTTAGTCATTTTTAAAGAATCAAAGCTTCAATGTTGGTCCATAATTCGAGTTGGTCAAGAAAGGACTCATACCTGGCATTGTGTTTTCTCATCCACTAGTGCTGAACTTTCCTTTCTGGTGTACTGCAAGGCACTGTGCATTTGGACCTGGTGTTCTGTATGGGGAACTCTGATAGACAGTACTTTATGTATGGACATGTTAACATCAACAGTCTTTTGGAAGAGCCCTGAGTGTCATTAATGAGTCACTTTTTGACTTCTTTGGGTTTTCTCTCTTAGGCTGTAAATAAGTAAAAAGGAGGGATAAAATGACAGTTCTTACTGAACCATGCAAGTGGCACGATTGTGGGTTCACTTAGCAAGTTATATGGCACTGAAATGAAAAAATAAAAAATAAAAAAGTATAGGTTATCTCCAATGTGGAGAATAAGTTTTTAGAAGTCTTAAATGAAAGTACCTTATGTGAAGGAAAGCTAAACGAACACAACACCTCTTGTGATCATGGAAGACAAATTATATTTATATTATGGAGGTACTTGACTTTGCTTTGCATTTGCCTTAATCTTGCCTAATGAAAACACTGTTTGGTCAAACATATTTTGCATCTGACATCGTTTTTTCTTAGGAAATACTATACCTGTCACTCAAGGTGTTATTGAAACAACGAAAAAATATGAAACCAAGGGGTAGATGTCTCCTCTTTTAGTATTGCTTCTAAGATCCCAGATCCTTAATCCCACTTGTAATGTATTTACTTTGGTTCTAGTGGCCAAGGATGTCAATATTCTTTTTGATGAATTAGAAGCTGTCAACAGTCCTTGCAAAGATGACGATTCTCTCCTTCACCCTGGAAACCTGACCAGCACTTCAGATGATGCTAGCAGATTGGAAGCAGGGGGAGAGGTAAGAGTGTGTGATTTCTTAAAAATGCAATTCTTGATCTAGATGGGAACCCGTGAAGCATATTCCAATGGACTGTTTAAAGTCTCATTGAACTGTAGGTTCCTGGAAAGCAAGGGGCAGGTCGTATATTCCTTTGATACCCCCATGGATCTGGCACATTTCAGGAATCCTAAATCTACCTTTGCTCAAAACAAACTTTCAGTGGGTCGTGCACTTCCCTTGTTATACCTAAAGACATTTTGTTTATACAAAGGAAGATTCTTAAAACCACCTGTCATTTTAAGATAATTTACATTCTGAGTGTCACTGACTAGTAAAAAGTAACCTTTACATGGATGCACTTCCTTGTGTAAATCCACCAGTACGTAGAACAGTGAAATGGACCAGCTCTCAGTAGATTGTGTTGTCTGACGCCTCTTCGAGTTTCCATTTGCCTCTATAATCTGGAAACTCATTGCCATTGTAAATAGACCCATCTGTTCATATGTCATTCTGGAAAAAGAAGTCTTTTGTTAGTGACATTCACTGTTGCTCTGGTTGCATTCAAGGGAGTTTAATGTCACCTTTGTACCTGCACTCGGTACAGGTAATAGGAACACAGGATCAGAGTCATTTGTTTATTGCATATTCTTAATTTTTTATTATTCCAGAGCCAGTTAACCATTGAAAGGATTATATCTTTGAACAGGGAAAATTGTTTACTTCTACCAAGCTTCCCAAACCTCTCCTTACAAACACCCTATGCTACTATCCATGTATTTTTTTTTTTAAAGAAAAAACATTCTGTCATCATCTCTTCACACAGATACTTTGAATGTCATGATGTGACATAAAGGAGGGATCTTGAAAAGGACCTCAAAAGCAACTGGTCTCATCCTCTTAACTTACAGATGAGGAAACAGTCTCAGAGAGGTTAGGGCTTTGCTAATCTTCTTGCTGATGCCTTGGCTGAAGCCCTGTTTTTGCAGGCAGGTGCTGATTTGCTGAATCTACAAGATAGTTTCCTTGCTTGGCAAATAATTGTTAAGAAAGTGTTTATTCAGGTAGACTTCCAAGTACCTCTTAAGGCAAGAGCCAAAAAATAGTCAGTAAGGATTGGTCATCAATTGAAAACATCCACACCAAGACATGGGACATGGGCATTTCCATCCCTCCTGGTTGAAATTTTCCTTTTGGATGAGGTTGTGTGCATGGCACTTGTGCAAGAATGTGGATTCTAGCAAAGACTTTGGAGGTATGACATGTGTCCTTCACACCACTATTTGGAAACTGATGTAAACTGTGGCTTGGAGAAAAGGTAGCTCCCTCGTTTCCACTTGCTAGGTTTACAGACATGTTTTTGAAATCTATCAGCCTGAGAAGCCTGGCTCCAGCCTAACCAGCCCGTTCTTGATGGTCTCTTTCAGTGTTGTACATAATTACAAGCCTATGGAGCCTGGATGAAAATTACACCTACTGTTTTTGTTCTTTAAGTTTTATATATGTAATCACTGCAAAATAATACTTGTAATTTATATGTAGGTTATGAAGCATAATAATAAAATGAACACTTTGAACCACCATCCAACTTGTGAACTAGAATGGTATTTTTCAAATTATGGTGGCAATCTAGTTGTAGGTTACTAACTCCAATTGTTTTTTAATGTAATGGAAAATTAATATTAGCATGTTTGCAAGTAGAAAGGATTAAGTATTGTTTTGTAAAACTTTTGTCCAGATATTTTGTGTGTTTATATACATACACAAGTATCACAAAGGAAAATATTTTTCTTATCTCTTTTAACATTTATTTCTCATTTTTCTGGAAAAGTTTGAGAAACATTAAAACCATCAAAGCTATTTGCACTCCCATCCCTCTACCCTACCAGAGGTACCATCTTCCTGAATTTTTGTGTTTTTTATTGTCTTGTTCTAAAATAGTTTTGTCACATACATATGTAGCCTTAACAACTTGTTTTTAGATTTCCTTTATTTTGTGATTTATAAAAATAGTATCATGCAGTATGAAGTCTTCTGTGACTTGCTTTTTTTCT